TTTTGGGGAGAAACCAAGGTGGCTTTCTGCCACACATGCAGACACCACTATTCAGAAATTCCCCAGTGTTGGGGGAATAACTGAAATCTTCCGCGTAGCCTGAACAGTAAGTCGCTTCCATCCTGGACTGCCTAGTAAACTTCCCAGGTGAAATGTGCCTGCTAGCAGTGGAGGTTTCCTAGGACAAGGCTCCCTTTGCCTGCAACTCATTACAAGACAATTTCCACCTGAGAGCATTGGAGGGCTTTCTACAGTTCTTTGCGCTAAGTACCATACTTTCCTCTGTAAGTTAGAATATTCAGTACTCACCTCAAACAATTCCCAAGTTGACCAAACCCTCCCCCCCACAAACAAACCCCAAATTCAGGAAGCCAAAATAGAAGAAATTCCTCAAGAGCTGCTAGGTTTTTTGCACAAAATAAGGTAATAAAAACAGCTGAGTGAACTGAACTATAATGAAACACCTTTTTTAAGTGACCACCAAAATCATTTCACTAGCAAAAAAGATTGGCCTCAAAAACTAAAGGAAACTTACTGGAAATGCTGGGGGTGTTTTCAGGTAGGCTTTTGATGGAGACTGTAGCCAGGTGAAGTTAACCATTCGTAGAAGTTCTGTGGGACCGGTATGGAAGTGTCTCAAAATACTCTTTTTTTTTTTTTCCCCCTAAAGGGGCATTTGTGATCCTTTACATGAGACTTAAGCACATTGCTTACCAAACAAGTTTCTGCATCCTTGCTTGTTTGAAAAAAAACTTGTCTGTTTTAATTTCTGTGCAGTTACTTTAGTTGATGGTGAATGGTGAGGGTATTTCAGTGTAATGTAAAGCTTTTGTGGTGGTTTGAAAATTGAGGGCTGGTGTATCTTCTGTGCAGCTCCCTTCTGTGTTGATGGTGAGAAAAATAAGAGCTCTAAGTTCAATTCTCCCTGGTATCTTGTTTAAGGCTGCTAAAACTTGAAGTATTTACAGTGTGACTTGTGAGCATGGCAATAACTTTCTTCTTCTGCAAAGCTGTGATTTTTTACAAACTTTTTTGGGTCTTTGTGGAGTAGCCTTTGCAGGGGTGGGCTTTTGCAAACAGCATAGTAAGAGAGAATTATTTTGGAAAAACAGTATTTTCAGTCCCACCCTGCCTCTTTCATTGCTAGTTATTGCTGTGTTCCAGCTTAATTTAAGCAAATAACGTATTTACTTAGAATGTAAGTATAGGATGGGAATATCTTCCTTCTGCTATGGGACAAAGCTGTTAATTTGGGAGTTGTGTTAAAATCAAATAATGCAAGGATCTCAGTAATTAGGTTTATTATCCTCTGGGTTTGCCAGTGCTGTATCCAAACTCTTCTGACAGCTGTGCTTGTAACAATGTATATTTATTTAACCACACTATGGAGTTAAGTTGCTGAGATTGAACTAGAGCTTCAAATCTCTGTTGTGAGGTACTCCACAAGCGCAAAAAAGTCTATAGTTCAACATCCTAGTCCATGTGGACAGACCATTTCAGTAAGCATGAGATAATATGGAGCATGTGGTCTGCACTCAACACACCTGGATTTGTAAAGGCTTTTCTCCACTTCCTGACAGACATCTCAAAACTTCTTGATATCAGATGCAAGTCCCACCAGGTAAACAGTGCTTTTCCCCTGCAGATACTAGATCATCACTACAGTGTAGTAATACTGCTAATCTGGTAGTTGCTGCTGGCAACTACTATCTTATGGTTTCTTCTCCTTGAGAAAGTGTGACAGAAGCTGCCTCCAGACTTAGTAGCCTGAGCACACTCCTGGGACAGAACTATTAGTCTCTTAGGATATGTATTTGTGATGCCTTAGGGGTAAGGGAGGGGAGGGAGGAGCTTGGTTTTCTAAACCAGAGTGGTTTGGGGATTGCGATGCTGACTCCTAATGGAAAGAATGCCTTTGTGTCACCCACACAGAATGTTGGCCTCTTAGAATGCATTTGAGAGGGACCCAGACCAGTGCTGAGGTCGTGAATGTTCATGAGTGGTTTCAGCATAACCATGAGATGCCTTCCCCAAAACTATGGATTCACTCAAAGTAGCCCAGCCCATTAAAAATCAAGCAGAACACATGGAAGTATCCACAACACAACAAGGACCAAGGTTTTAACAGCAGTCTTGAGAGTGCTGTCATGGATAGTTAGGCCATCAGTTCTTGAGTTGGGGCCTATGTTGCAGTGGGTTTGCCTTTGTTTCCCAGAAGCAAGATTTCAGCATATCATACTGATCCTAATGACTGTTGCAGCTATTTCTTCTGTTTGAGAATCATTGCTTTGCATTCTCTTTCTGATACTGTCTCCTGTCCCACTGCTCAGTGACTGAAGTGCAGGGATGGAGGGATGGAGAGAGATTCCCCCTTCCTCGAAATGGTAACTCTGCTCAGAAGTTGGCTGCTGGAGGCTGCTAAAGACTGATGCAATGTGTGACCCACCTAACTACCTTGAGGACAGGAGCACCTCTAGGGACAAACTCTGCGCCCCAACCAGACCTGAGCTCTAACAGTTTCAAAGTACTATTAGAGTACTAATTTTCCATTCACTCTTCTGTCTGCATCCCCAGTCCTTCCATAAGTTAGGTGAAGACGATGAGCTCCCAGCCACACAAGGGAGTCACCAGGACAGTGAGTGACTGACTAGAAAGGGATTGGAAGTGCCATGAAGAAATGGAAAAATAAGCAGGACAGCCCCTCCAGAACCAGACAGACCAGTAAACATTACACATTACATATTTTTAGACTCATTTGCTAGTATCTGGTGCAAGTTCTGTAAAATAGGAGCAAGCTGCTTGCATTTCCTGGCCCTGAGCAGGGCCTATAGCAACATGGCAAACCGTCACAAAGTCTGCAGTTTTGTAGACTTGGGCTGTCTGTACCAGAAAGTGAATTACAGATCTTGATTTATAATCAAACAGAAGCATTACTCAGAGCTGCTGCTGAACTCTGGTCCAGAAATCCAGGAGCCTTACTAATGTCTTTTGGAAAACACAAGAGGGAGAGAATACTTTTATGCGGTTGCTGGAAAGCTTTTATTAAAGAGATAAAATGTCATTGAACTGGATTCCATAGCTTGTGGTTTTAGATACTGCACCAAGGGAGGGCGAAGGTGCCATGTGGTTAGCCATTTGGGAAATAAATGGCATGTTGATTTCAGACAAGACCTGTAATTTGTTAAATGTCACCTTACTGGCAACAGATTTAGGCATGACGCTCTGTCAGCAGGGAGGGTAGTGAATGGACCTTCATAGAAGGTCAGCAGACCATAATTCTAAGAAACACTTAAATAACAATGGCATGTAAAAAACCCCAAAAATAAAAACCATGTTGAGTAATATGGGCATATTGGGCAATGGACTTTTTTGAACCAAGAACAACACCAGGCCGATGGCCAAGACCCAGCAAGCCACCAAGGAATACCATGTGCAGTGGGAAGGGTACTTGCACAGTATAATAAATGATTCATGAAAGACCCAAAGAGCTTGTTGGAACATCAGGGCCTTTTCATCCTCAACAATCTTTATTTATTTATTTTTCATGGAAACACCTCCAAATTTAGGGCAGGAGCACTCTAGAAGCAGTATGCTCAGATTCCAGACCTATGTTACTTATTCCCTTAGTCATGTATTTTCCTCTGCCTGCTGCAAAGAAGCAGTGTTGATGGGCTCTAAAAGGACAGGCTTCCACCTTTTCTTTGTCAGGATGCACAAAAACAAAGCAATCTAAAGGACTTGGAGGATTCCTGCCTGAGAGGCAAATAAAGTACCTCCTTGAGTTGTACCATGGGTTATTACCTACCTAATGACATGCTTGTTGCATACGTCTGTGACTGCTGGCTCAGACATTTGGTTCATGCACTGGGGAAGGAAAATACTATGATGGAAGAATGGGTTTGAACAAAATAAGCATTGACTTGAACCATTGCTAGAATCTCAAATGGATCTTAGGTGTGATTTTTTTGGTGTTCAGAACTATATAGTGGCTGACTTTCTACCCGCTCCCCATTCTCTTGGAAATTCTGAAATATCCCATGAGGGATTGCTTGTATGACATTCCTGGCTTGATGGATTTCAGGAAACTTCAGAAATCTCATGCAAAAGCATGATATACAATCATAAATCAGTTATGCAGGCACAAGTGGTCTCAAGCAGAATCTGAACTGATGGGGTCTTCTGTATCCCGAGCATCTGGAGTTTAACCTCAAGTTAATGAATACCAGAGTTTTTCAGACAGTGCCCGAGGAACGCAGGAATCTAAGTCTGTGAGGCTGAATGGCTGATCTGCTTTGCAAGAGACACTGGACATGAAGCTGTCTCCTTTTAGTGATGTGACAGTAGAGATCATTCTTTTTGTGTCCACTAGAGGCCACCGCAAACCTCATGTGAAAAAAAAACAGGCACCAGCTGGAATAGATGGTAAATAGTTCACTTTTTATAGAGAGACTGTGGGCAGTTCTGGAAGTTGGATCACCCTAAAACAGCATCTTTGCTAGCTGAGTTAAAGGAGCAGTGCCCATGGGTAACTTAAAGCCAGTAGATCACTTCAGGCTAATGTCTCATCAGATTGCACTGGTGGTATGGACATACATGTTCATTGCTTAAGATGAAAAATCTCTTAGGAAAAGGCAGGTTTTACTAGTCCCTTTGCTGGGCAAGTGGGATTCCCCTAGAGAGATGAGGAGCTCCAGAGTGACTTTCTCTGCTTTTCCATCTAAGCAGTAAGTCAAGTCTTATACAGAGAAGAGACTTCCTCCCCACAGTCATGACAGCCACAACCCTGACCTCTGCTGTGAAAAACTCGTTGTACTCCTTGTTCAGTGACCACACTTGCTCCCTGGAGGCATGCCTGTTTCCTGGCATTATAGATGTTCATCTAGAAGAAGCAGGGTTGGGCAGAGAGGCTGGCACTGAGAACAGCTTGAGGACTCTGAAAAGGTGTAAAGAGGAGACAAGACAGCAGGGATGTAGGGAGAGCTCCTTGGGCTCCGCCCCATGATAAGTATTGCCACCTTCTTCATTGTCAGCTAAATAATACCCGAAGTGGTTTGGCTTTTAGCAAAGGCTACTGGAAGGGTCTGACTGCTGTGCTGGCCAGAGGAAACTAGTTATTGTCAAAGGAAGTGCTGCCAAGAGTCCACAGGACCAAGTCGAAGTTGATTTATGGAATTAAAATGAGAGCAAGTCTGTGACCAGTTGCGACTGGCATGAGTAGGGACTTCTGCCCCTTTCACTTTGGGGTGGGCAAAATGGTGTCAATGAAATGAGAATGTGCCCTGGCTCCTCACCCAGCCCACCTGGAATCTTCCTGAGGGATGGGAAAAGAGTATGGTTGCTTTTGTGGCTGCCTTTGCAAATGTAGATGGGGCCAGAACTGGGAGATGCCAGAAATGGCCTGAGCCAATTCATTCTTATGAGATTTCTGATCTGATATTTTTGCAAATTTGAGACTTTTGGATAAGGCTCTGGACTCCAGATTTCTATAGGACCAGTCATCACACATGAGTCCATGCACATATGAATCACCTCTTCCACCTCTCCAGGGAGAAAACACTGTGGTCTAGAGGAAGTTGCAGCTTGGAGTTTTCTTTCCAAGCT